ATGGTACAGACACATATTCATGGCCACAGACACTTTGGTTGTCCTGCTCTCATGTGGACTCAAACACAGGTCACAGTGTCTTTGACTCCAGTTCACACCGGAGTTCTGGCCTGCCCAATACAGCAGTGCAGAAACAGCTGTCATGCCCCAGCCATCTGCCAACCCAGGCACATCGCCATTGCTGTTATCATAATGTTCCCAGGCACAGCAGAGTCAGATGATAAGCTGTACAGCACTACAGCAAGCAGCAAAAGCAAAAAGCAGCCACTAACAAGCACTAGACTCTAATATTCAGTAAGTCAAGCAAGCCCTGTGGCAGCACAGGAACCTGCCAACTAATAGCTGAACAGCAATAACAGCTACAAATTCAATCTGGCACATCCCAGTCAAACCTGTCATTATCTCAAGCCCCTCAAGCACCATGTTGGGCACCAAAAAGGATAGTCGTGGTTTAACTCCAGCCGGCAACTAAGTACCACACAGCTGCTCACTCCCACACACTGCATCCCCAGTGGGATAGGGGCAAGAATCAGAAAAAAAAAAACAAACATAAAACTCACAGAATAAGAACAGCTTCATTATTGAAACAAAAATTATTCATAATAAAAATAATAGTAATAATAATAGACATAAATAAAACCAAATGGGAAAAAAGAAGTGATGCACAATACAATTGCTCACCACCTGCCGACTGATACCCAGCCAGATCCAAGCAGTGATCTGGGCCTTCAGGGTAACTGCCCCCAGTTTATATACTGGGCATGATGTGCTGTGGTACAGAATACCCCTTTGGCTAGTTCGGGTCAGGTGTCCTGTCTCTGCTTCCTCCTGGCTTCCCATGCCTCTCCTCACTGGTACAGCACGAGACTGAAAAGTCCTTGATTTAGAGTAAACACTGTTGAGCAACAACTAAAACATCAGTATATTATCACGGCTGTTCTCATACTAAATCCAAAACAGAGCACTGTATCAAGAAAACACAAACCCTCTATTCCAGCTGAAACCTGGACAGTAGCTTAAGGTCTCTCAGCTGAATGTCCAAGCTTAGCTGACAGAATGAAGAATCCTTCCTCACCCTTTCTGCATGAAAGGATGAGATTCAACTTGAAAATTAAGACACCTACGTCAGGGGCTTTATCCAATTGCTCAAAAGCAGGGATCTGGCATACTCTGAAATGCTGCAAGGTATCTCGTCTGGACTACAGCTAACACTCCAGAAGCTCATGGCTTTCACATGGAATTACAGAATCATAGAATAATAGATTCATAGAAACATAGAATCAAAAAATGGTTTGAGTTGGAAGAGACCTTAAAGATCATCTAGTTCCAACCCTCTGCCACAGGCAGGGACACCTTCCACTAGAGCAGGTTGCTCACATAGATTATATGTGGATGACTCAGATATCCTAGGATATATTGAATGGCAATAGATGGAGACTGCAAATTGAACCCTGGATCCTCATCATCTGTAATAGCAACTCAGCATTTTCCTCATAGGCATATACATAACCACACATAAACATAATTAAACATAATTAATTTGTGAGACACATCCTATCTGTAGCTTGTTTGATGTGCTGTAGATCACAAGAAATACACCTTCACTGCTCATGTTACTGCTTGTGATATTATTTCCCCATACTTACAAGCATACAACAGGCTGGATCCCAGCCTGGTGGAGATTCCACACTGACGTTAATAGGATCAGACACATGGCCTACGCAAAGATCAAATATAAGCCTCTTACCTCAGCATCTAGAGGCAAAATAGCATTAGGCACTTCAGAAATGCAGATAAATTCTATACTGATACAATTATGTCAAGAAAAAACAGACAAAGAGATAGTTTTGTTGCCTGATGGTTTGAATTTATAGGAGATGTTGCACAGATCATCAGAAAACATTAACAATTGATCACATCTAAAATATGTGCTTATAATTTTTTCAGAATCTACCTAAATGCAAGAACAAAAGGCTTTTCTTCTTCAAAACAAACAGAAAATGCTATCTAGTGTTGGCTCTTTGCTACTGCACTCTCACATACCTTTTTGAATTAAGCAAAATGAGCTGTGAAGCATCAAAGCGCAGAGGGCAGCGTGCCCAGCAGCATTGCACACTCAGGATTCAGGAGCCTTGTCCTGTTTCAAAGTTTATTCTGAATTTCAAAGATGATATAAAGCTCACACCTGCTGGATTCCTACCCTGCAGAGGGAAACAGGAACGGGGAAGAAAGGCTGGGAAGAGGAGATGTGGCATAAAAGGTTTAACCAGCTGCCGATCCAGGCACCAGCACTGGCTTAGCTGTACTCTCTCCTTTGGCTTAATGCAGCACAGGATCCTCTCTAGCTAGAAAATATATATAATTTAATATGTATATATTAAAGATTATGTGTGTGCTGTAACATTGAATTATGTAAACTGCTAATATTTAAAAAATTAATATTGAACAATAAGCATATGGATTTAGAGCTCAAGGGGAGGAATGGTAATGGACTGAAGATCCTCAGGGTTTCAGATCAATCCTTACTATTTATTTTATGTGTTAGTTAAAAAAAAAAATCCCAAACTCTTACAAGTATTTGTGGTTCCCATTCTGATGGCTGGGTTAATTAAAGGTCAGATCCTGCCTCCACAGCCACTCTTGCAGGAGAACTATACAACGCTGCTCTTCCACCAGCAGTTCTGTCCGTCAGCCAGGCGCTGTGACATCTCAGCACGTACAAAAACATCTTCTTTAAATTGCCATCAGCCTTGCCTGAGACGGATCAAAACATCTCAGCTTCCCCGTGCGATGTGTCTCAGAAATGTCACTTTCATCCTCTGCAGGTGATGCCACAACTAACAGTTTTCATGTCCTTCCAGTAGGAGGGAGCGGAGGGAGAGAAGGGGGAGAAGAGCTGGCAGCAGCCATTACCATGATTGCTCATATGCCGATTTTGCTTTCCAAGGCCAAATTTGCCATTGCTGACTGTATGAGACACATCACATACATCTGCTTGTGGCACACAGAGCTGGCACTGCTCTGCCTGTCTTGGAACAGAGATCATCAGCGCAAGCTTTGGCCATAACATTTTTTCTATATGTTTTTAATGTGCCCCATGGAAGCATACCTAGTTTTAGTTGGAACACTGCAAGTAAAGCCTCAGAAACACTTGCCTTTTGAAATCCACAGTTTTAATCCTGATGTAAAGGCAGAATGAACTGTGCACACCAGACATTGGTCATGTTACTATTGTCAGACAGGAAAATCAGTTCATATTTGGAAAACAATACAACATCTGGAAAATTATTATCAGAATAACATGCTCAGTTAATCAAAAGCATTTTCATAAGAGTCTAATTCAAGTCTTGTATAAGCTTACTGTGCCAGACCTGTCCTGTTTTCAGCACTACACGGCCCTCAAACAGGCAGAATGCTGCTGACATCCCTGCAGATTTTGTTTGGGCCAATCCCTGTGCTCATAGAGGAAACCTAAAACTTTTCCCTTCCCTGCACCCTTCCAAGGCTGGTCACAGGGTCTGCAAGCACAGGACACCCTTTCTGCCCAGGCTCCCTGCTATTATCAGAGATGCTGATCTTGCTGATGGGGCTGCACACTACACGGTTATGTTTCCTATATGCTATCTCCAAAGGTTCCCCAAAATCAACTCACAAGATAGGAGCTAATTCCCCCATAACTCACACAGTAGAGAACAAGCCATCACATCTCAGTAGTGCAGCATCACAGCACTGCCATTTGCCAAGTGACAGAAGCGCAGGCTATAGGAGAGCCCCAGAGCATCCTGTCACTCTGGGGTCATTCAGCAGCTTTCACATTTATTCTCACCAGCCAGAGATTTTAGGTGAACAAAAATATGCTGAGAAGGGAAAAGATGAGATCTCTAGGTCCAGGACCCCTCTCTTATACAACAAACGGATAGGGGAAAGACAACCAGTTGATCCCAGCAGACAAAATGTCCCATTCGGCAACTGCAGAGGATGAATCTTCAATATTTCTGGAGAAGGGTTTGGGAAAAGTCCCTTTCCAACAGGTGAGTACACAGAACTAAGTGGCAGTAGCTTGCCAAGGCACACGACAGCCAGCCTTGGCATGCCAGCAGCAAATGGTGTCCAACATCTCAATTCTTTGCCAGCACTTGGTATCTGTGAGCATTGGGCACTGACGCCACACCATGTACAGCAGGTAAGGACAACCTACAGACCAGGCTGCCATTGTGGTACTGGAACAGGAGGATAAAGGAGCATCTCCTTTCATTTGTGCCTGAAAGAAGGAAGATTTAACTGGGACAACCAGTTTATTCCTGTGTCTGACCAGTAAAGATGCAGTCACCAGTTTTCATAATGTGATTTCACTGCTAATTGTTCCAGCTCTGGGGGTCATGAGGATATGGACAAATGTCAGCTACCACTGCAGAAATGAGCTCCAAGACTTTGTGCCTGAGGGGAGCAATCTTTTAAAATGTAACTCCAAGAGGCTGGAAAACCAAAGGCAAATAAACGCTGTCATGCACTCCATAGCACTCATCCTCTTTTTTTCATCTCGGTCTCCAAAGGTGAGATCCATGACAGTTTAACAACAGGGGTTGGCTCTACAAGACAAGAAGCCCTGGGGGCTGTGAGGGCTGCCTGGGAAAGAACATTAGAAACCTTCATGCTGAGGCCCCATTTTATGGCTCTGGTTGAAGGCACGCTCCTGCGTCAGATAAAAAGACGTATCATACCAAATGGTTATTATCTAATAAAAATACATACAATAATCATCCCTGAATGAAGAACCAGAAGGGTGTAGCAACACTTCAAAGGGTCTTTCACTGCAACTGCAATGTTCCAGGCTTTTGGAAGTTGAAGCTAAGGCAATAAACTGTCTTGTCACTCAGGAGGGATGTGATCTCCCACTGAGATACAAGGGGGAATATGGGAAACATCCTGAGCAGTAATAATGCAGGCTTCACACCCTGGATGCAGGCATCACTTCAATATATGTGAACTGATCCCCTCACCTGTGATTCTAAGCCTTTTTAGTACAGGAAGGCTTTACTGAAGAAGCCTTTCTGCAGGCTTGCACATTTTCTAAGAGGAAGGAGATAGTGAAAACGAATGCCTGAATTACAAGGTGTTTCAGTTTTTTTGCTTTCACTAAAAGCATCTGCCAGAAGAAAGATTAACAATATATGGAAAAGTGGACTAACCTGAACACATCAGGCTGCAGAGGCATGATGAGCCACAAAGCTGGCAGGTGCTCAAGGGGGCAAAAGTGCCATGCTACCCGGCATGTGTACACCCAAGACATGCTCCTCCTCTTCCAGCCTCTCCTCATTCCCGACACCTCCGGGCCAGCCCCTCCCCTGGCTGGCCACCCCAGCACCTGCTCCCAGTGCCCAGCATTGTTCCCCAGATCTCAGTCTCACTTCCTAATGGTCTTTGCCAGCCCGTGCTTCTTTCTCCATGACCCAGTAACCCTTCAGCTCCAGGCCCTTCTCCCAGTCTCCCCCCATCAGTGTGGTCCCAGTGTCTGCAGGGTCAGTGCAGCACACGGACACTCATTCGGGTCCCCAGGGATAGAGATGTTTTGCCAATAAAAAGCACCTGGGGCATGCCCAGTGTGGGCAAGCACTGATTTTTTTTTAATTCCACTGAGTTTTTCCTGAGCCTGTACCATGCACAGTGACTGCTGCTGGGGCAGATAGATTTTACCTGTTCAATGCAGCTCCAATAGTCCACCTACACCAGGGCTTCTCCAGCCTAGATAGGTCAGTTAAATATATCACGCCCTTAATCCGTGTAGTTATGGTGGCAATCATCGGGCAAAGTGACATGACAAATTGCTTGTGAATTGCTCACCAACAAGCTGAACCTCTCCTGCCAATATCCTCTAGTCCTTTCCTTGTTTTTGTGCTTTTCCTCCCTTCATTTGCTGCTCTCCTCCTCCTCTTTCACTCCAGAGAAATCCCCAAGGTCTGGCAGCAAACCTACTGTTCCTGAGAGCCTTGCTCTCAGATGCTGAGCTTTGTTTTTCCTGCATTCCTGCCACCAGGGAAATTCCCGTTTGGGTAAAAAGGAAAGGCTGAGGCTGACATTATTGACACATGAAATATTTTACAGGAACAACCTCAAGTGCCTGTGGGAAGCGCCCTGAACTCAAGAGCAAATGCTCTATTCTGAGACATGTTTTCAAACTGTTTAAACCATCCCTTGATCACAAGGTTAAAAACCCGACCCTAAAACACCTTTCCTCAGAGGTAACACAGCCTGAAGGTGGTTCATGTCACCTTGAGACCAAAGTTCTGTTCCCAATCCCCTTCACTCTGGAGGATTGAGGTCATCTTTACCTGGGCTTTGGCTACCTCACTCACAGCATTTCAAAGAACAAGTGGAGAAAGAAGGCTTTGGGTCTGAAACAGCTATTTCTCCTACCAGGCTGACACTGCACGATGGTGCTGAACAACCTGACACCTCAGTTTCACAAGTCACTTGCTTTCTGCTAATTTCAGAGCATTTTAGCACCCTTCCCCCTTAGGAAGCCCTTTCTTCTGACTGTTTTTTGGCTATGTAACTCATCTTTAAGCTTGTCATTTATGCACTGCACTGGGGAAGAACTGAAAAATAAAGCGTGTTGTGGAAGAACCTGTGCTACAAGGGTATGGTCCTGCCCAGGTATTTCAGTTCCTTATTGCCTACCAAATCTGTAATAGTCCAGAGGCAGAACCAGCCTGGTGGCTGCTCATAGATCGTATCCTGCTGCTCCTTGGGTGCAGAATATTAATGGAAAAATCCTGTGAATAAAAAAACCTTGGGAAGGCAGCTATTTACCAAAGGAGAATGACTCACTGTGTTTACGCTGCAGCCTGCCATGTGAAAGACAAGAAGCCACAAAAGGTCACAGAGGAGTTGTCTCCTTGCCACTTATTCTGTCTGTTCCTCCGACAAAGGCAAAGCCATCTGCAGTACAAGTGATGAAGCAGTGATGACCAAAGATTTCAAAAGGACACATGAAGAGTGCCAAATGCTCTTGATAAAAAAGCGAGTGAACAAGAGGAGTCACATAGCTCTTTGTGTAACCTTTACTCCACTGTTAAGTGCACCAGTTTATAGTAATTATGGAAAAGCCACTGATTGTATTATAAATATAATGACATTAACAGGACTGTCACTGTGTCTGTAGCAACAGTTGTGAAATTAATTTTTTTCTTCATTAAGGAGATCCTTATTTGCATGATTAAAATGTCAGCCCAGATAAATGCATGTGCCGGGGAATGAATCACTGAGCAAAAATGCCACCTGCCAAGCCCGGAGAATAGGACAAATAAACAAGCAGTGAGGAGCAGCTCAAAACTTGATCCAGCTCCCAGTGGGAGCCGTTCCATCATCCTCAGGAGCAGCAACACTCTCCAAGTGAGTGCCAAGATGAGGAGGCTCAGCCAAGCGACAGCCCGAATGCTTAGGATTTTTGCTTTGGCCACACTCAACCATTTTGGAAGGGAAAACTACAGCCTTATAAAAAAAGAATCCCTCCATTGCAGTTTAGAGGGTACAAAAACATACTCCCATTAAGAAGGACAAAATATATGTGATCCAAACTTACTCCTTTGCTACTATTTGATAAATGACAAGCCCAGCCATGACTCACTTAACATTGCTGAAGCTCATCAACTCTGCATGCTACTATAAATCAACAAAATTTCCTGTTCACTCAAATACTTCCAAAAGCAGATGAATCCACACCAAGAACCCATGTCCTTGTATGAAGTTTCAGCTCAGCATCACACCACCACCCCTATCTCAAGCTGCAGACCTGCCCTCCTGTGTGTCAGGTCGCTACACAGAGTGACTCAGTGGCAGGACAGGCAGGACAGGCAGCTGCCAGCTCAAGACAAGCTGTCAGTTTACCACAGCTGAACTGAAGAGTCACAAGCCTGCTGGAAAGTTGCAGTATTCCCTCCTCCAGTCTCCTCATCTTCTGGAGCAGGTCAACACATAAAATCTTTCTTCTGGTCTTCATCAAAGCAGAATATTCTCCTCAGTACGCCTATGTTATGTTTGTCTTAAAAGAGAATATGTTCCAAAGGTATTTTAGCAGAGAGATCTTTTTTTTTCTATTACTCCAGTGAACCAAGTCTCCGCATGTTAGAAAATGTTAAAAATGTTTCTAATGTAGCTACGCTCAGGCTAGTATGAACCATGCCAGGCAAGTCATCTGAATCAGGTATTTCTTAAGATTTCAAAACTAAATTGGCTATTTTTGTAAAAGTTAGGAAAGAACCGGCTATTTTAGCTCCTGAATGCTAATTTGAATGTACGAATTTGTTTACAAAAAGGTATGCTTCGGTCCACCACCATGAAGCACCACTGGTGGAGAGCAGTAAATAGTACGGAAGGCTCTAACCAGGGGACACAGACCACAATATACAGCTCAGATTTTCCAGGAGGTGTTTTAATGTAGTTATGGCCAAAACACTAAAGGATTCGGTCACTGAACTGATCATGAAACCCCATTTTCCAAGCGGATTGTTTATAGCTCTTGCCCAGGTGCACATGATGCTTTTCCATTCCATCCCATCTTCTGACCATGGGGCAGCTATGTCCTTCTGCACTGTGGGAGCCTGGCTACCACAAAGTCATATATAAAACTTCCAGAAAGGATGATCTATAAGGAGAAAATGAAGACACAGCAGAACTGCTGCAAATGGCACAGAGGCACAGGAAGATTATGCCAGGATGCAGAGCCATCCTGCACCACACAAAGTCCAGGCTGCAGGAACAGTATGCCGCAGGGACTGGGAAAATCAAACCACACACAAGGATGATGCCTATGTGCAGGTTGTCATAAGGATGACAAACAACAGCTGAACTGGGAGGAGTCAAGAGTTTTGCCAGCCACAAAGCTCAGTCTTGCAGGCAGCAAAATGATTCAGGGTCAGAACCAAAATCCTCATTTCCAAGATAATGGAGACACTCCTGTTGGCTTCATAAGGCTTTTATGAACCTTGGCTTGCAAAGAGAGGAGTGAACAGAAAACATGAAGTGATTTTAAACCAAGATTAACACAGCTTTATCAAAGGCAGGACTTCTGCTGTCACACTTACTTTTCATGAGAACTGGGTCAAAAAGGCCCAGCTTCCATAAACATTGGCTTGTTGCCCAGGAGCTGTAAAAATCAAACATGGCCCAGTTCAGCACCTTTGCGGGTCATGGAAAGTTTTTCCTGCTATTTCAAGAGCTTTTAGATGGGACCTTGTACTTAGTCCATGTGTAGCAGAGGCAAAGCAAGGTAAGAAAGTGCTTAGAAAAGTAGCAATTCTTTTCACCAGATCTTAGGGGTTTCAGATTGAATTGCACATAGGTGCAACTGATGGTGTACCCTGCTCTCCTGACATTCAGATCAGGGTCCAGGCTGCACTGCAGCAGAGCTCCCAGCCACTGCACCAAGGACCTGTCCCATGGGACCCAGGGCATGGAGTTGGTATGGGGAGGGAAAGCAGATGGGACAGAAGGTGCATGTCCAGTACATGTGGTGACTGATGGAGTCACCACAACACCAAAGAGACTCTTTGGCCTAAGTTGCATATAGAAAAAATCACTGCCTCACACAAGGGCAAAGCAGAGAGGCTTTTGCTCTGGATCAGTTCCTTACATATAGGCAAGGTCTTGGCTGTGGAGCTAAACAGCCTCTTTCACAAAGCCTCCAGGGATTTAGGGGAGCTGTTGCCTCACCAGGAACATTAACTCACATTGCCCCCACGAGGAAGTGGCTCTCACTGAGTTTTTGATGGGGTTTTGACTGAAGCTCTGCAGCGGTGCTGCCAAGAGCTAAAGTCAAAAACACAAGAAGCAGCCCATCTTGCCATATGGCCTGAGGTGCTGAGCAATAAGGCTTTGCCACCTTTGCTATCATCTTCTGCAATACCATGGCTTCACACTGAAATCCTTCTGGGGTCAGAAATCAGACTCTGCTTCTCCCTCTGTTTCAAGACCCCCTGCTACTGCTGATGAAGACAGCTGCTGCTGGGATCTGATAAAGAGATGTTTTTTTCCTCTGCAGGAAATAAAAGCAGCTCTGGATGTGGACTTCAGCAGTGTTAGATTTGGTGCTACTCAACATCAGAGCCTCTGGAAGAGTCTACCCTTGACATACCAAAGTGAGTTTCTCTCAGCAAAATCAGATTGCAAAACTCACCATGGAGTACAAGAGAAAAAGACCCCAGAGCCTGATGAGAACTTACTGACAACACAAGCTCCACAGAAGGCTTGCTCTCAGCCTTTCCCAGCAGAATTTGATTCCTGGTCTCAGATCCTGTCTCTGGTGTGCCCTGCCAATGATAACATCTGACTCCTCTGACGCATGCCCTGTGGCTCCACTTGGCACTCCAGATCACCAGCATGCCTGCTGGAGACAGACATGAGCTCATCCTCCTCTTCTGCATGCACAGTGAGTTTCTAATAGCCACAGACCAGACCGCCTCATGTTCCACCAAGATGACTCTCACTGACATCCAGGTAACTGCTCTGCACTAGCAGGGGTCTGGAGTGCAGACTGAAGTCTGCAGGATCCTGGATGTTCCTTAAACCACCACCAGCTACATTTGCTCTGAATGTTATTTTCCACAGAGTGCTTCAGTTTGTGAGTTTTGATCCTATCTTCTACTGCTGTCAGACAAGGAGGTAGGAAAGCCTACAAATCCTTATTACTTACTGGTTTTCAGCTAGGTCCAAATCAATTTGTATTAAGGTACGCAGGACGTATACTAAATTCTTGCATCCTGCCTGACACCAAGGAGATGGAAGTTTTTTTATTGTTATCGTGGCATTTATGTTGAAAAGTTTTGTGGCACCTGTGCAAAGGAAAGCAGAATAGCAATGGGCAGAAAGCTAGATGATGCAAAAGAGAGCAAGAGTGCAGAATAAAAACCAACTGTTTGAACTGCACAACATTAGATATTATGCAGGAGAAAGGCATAATTAAAACACTCTTAATTTGTAAGTTGTTACTACTGCCAGCCCTGGGTCTGTGGGAGATGGGCCCAAACTGTGAGATTATCTGCAAAGCCCCAGTGAAGTTAGTAAGAATTCATTAGGCAGTAGCAGGACCTCCTCCAGGTATATCTGCTTCCTGGGCTCCCTGGAAGCCCCTAGTTCATCTGCATTCCCCACTTCTCTGGGTTCCCAGTAAATGCCTTTTATGCATTTTAAACTGTGAGCTCTGCAGTCACAGACTTCTTCCTCCACTGTTGCCACAATACAAAGCACATGACCATGATCTCTAAAACTAGTTGTGTTAGGGGAAAAAGCCTGTAATCACATAAAAGCTTTCCATGACCTTGTTGTATAGTTGGATCACAACCTAATTGCTAAACGTTGCATGTTTCCCTAAAGACAAAACAAATATGAAGAAAAGCCACTAGATTGTGAAGGCTGGCAAAGCTATCTACCATCTGCAGAAATTCAGCTGGGCCTCCAGCAGATAACAACAGAAGACAATACCTTTAGTTTCCTTGTTTTTCTCTCCTCTTACACAATGGAATATCTTCTCCACTTAGAACTTGGGGCCCCAATCACCTGACTCTGGGACCCTGCTATTGTGAAATGCTGGAACTAATATTTTCTGTGTATCTGTGGTAAAAGTCAACATCATCTTGAAATTCCAGAGTAGAATAATTGCCTCTGGTCCTAAACATGATCCTCCTGCTACTCCAACTAGAAAAAAGTTCTTGCAAAGCTTGCACTGCAAGCACACACAGTTGTAGCAGTTAGGCGTGGGTTGGCTGCCTGTTTTTGGTAAAATCTCTTGGTTTTGGACTCTTTAAAGGCACTGATCTCAGAGAGCAATGCAAGGCCATCTGTCGCCTCGTCCGTGCATAAGGGTTGCAAGGTACAGGAGGAAGGATGTCTCTACAGGAATGACCTTTTGCGTTTTAAGAACAAGCTGGGAGCGCTTTGTGTGCCTCATGTTCAGGCAGTTCTGCTCTGGAAATAAATGTCAGAGCTAGAAGCATGTCCACGTGCCCCAGGGACCTTGGCAGGGATTCAGCACAGTGCTGCACTGTCTGCCTCTCATGGGCAGAGCCGTCTCCTCCCTTCCCCTCAATTTTTATTTTTACTGTGAATTTTAGGGGTTTTAGGCCACTTACAACTTTCTGCTTAGGTACAAAGGCAATCCTCTGCTGAAAGATGACACTGGCCTTTTTGTTCCTAGATTGGTGCCTTCTCCATGAGTAGATGAAAAGCCTCATCTCATCCACATAGACCATGTTGCTATATATGATGCTCATTTAGTTGATTGCAGTGCCCAGCATCCCCAGTCTCAGAGCAAAACTCACTGATGTTCGCTGTATTACAGCATGGGTAGCTGCTTTCAAAGTGACTTGCTTTTCTTTTTTAATTTATGCCTCTAATTTGCTATCCAAATGGAAGCTTCTCCCATGAGTATTTCTTTTCTACAGGCAAAGGCCAATATTTGAGGGCAATTGTTTCCAAACCAAGTGGCTAAAGTCACGCTGACGCTGTTATAATTACATGAGTTTGTATTATGCAGACTTGATTCCCTTTGTGTCCTCCTCTAGACTGTGGCAGATGACGGTAATGGAGAATATGCTGCTGTATTATATCCTAAAATTTTAGTTTCCTGTTTTGGAAACTTGCATATCTCATATATTCCCTTCTGGTAAATGTCCATGCTCTGGGGAACTGCTCCCTTGCCCATGTGTTAATGAGTACTTCCTATCATTAGACCCAGGAATCATTACTGTCTAATCATAACTGGTTACAAAGCAATTAACAGTGAAAAAAAGCTCTTAAAGAATGCTGATGGTGTTCTGAAGCAGGTCTTGCTTTCCAGCTGCCACCTGACATGGGACTTATAGGAGAAAGCATCCAAAGCCTGCCCTGCTCCCATGTCTGTCCCCCATCCTGAGCAAGGCACAAGAACCCACCTTAGCCCCCATGCACATACGATGGCCAACACATAACCCAGGCCAGCTCATCACACTGACTAGCCACATGCTGGGCAGAACTGCCCATGCTCATCCTGTTATTTCCCTCTCTCTTTTTCCCCTGCTTAGAGACATATGATTGTATTTAGGATGTTTTCTCCTTTTGAAGGAACTGTTGCAGGAGAGATGCAATAAGATACCTTAAGGTCCTTCTGCAAGCCCATCCACATGGGACCCACATGTCAAAGACAGCCACCAACACCAGGGGCACTTATCCCGTATTCCTGTAAACCAAAGGAGCTCAGAAATACAGTGAGGGGATGAAATGGCACAGTTCAGCTTCCTCCAAAGTAAAACCTAAATCTGGACAGCTGTGCTCAAAAGAGAGCCTAAGGTGGGTGGCCCAGTGCTTGGTCTCTGTTGCAGACAGAAAATGTTAACTAAGATTTTATCCTCACTTTTGGGTTTTAAAGATGTTTGGAGGAAAATGGCAGAACTGAGAATTTTAGTGGTAAAGGTTTTAGTGGTAAAGCTGCCACTACACCCAGGAAAGAAAATCAATACACAAGTTAGCTAAACTCTGCATTCCAGATATAAAGGGAACAAAGGATCCTGTGAGGACTCACTGTACTATTAAGTACTTTATACCAGCCATTTATTCCTGCAAAAATTCCCTCAAATTAATGTGTTTGTTTACACACATCTGATTGATAAGGCACAAACACAACCAGAATGATACTTGGTTTAGTGTCCCAGTTCACTGCTAATCTGCACAAGCACCACTGGGAGCAGGCTGTGGTTCAGTTCAGATCAGGACAGTGGTCATGTCTTCTCTGGACAGAAATCAGCAGATGTGGGTTAAGTACAGCCAGAGAAACAGAATTTCAAGTGACTTGCTCTAGGGCAGAAAAAAGAAGTTATAAGAAAATTGGGACTGAAACCTGGACTAGCTCAGTTCTGCATGCACACGTTCACCACACAACCATCTTTCTTCTCCCTTGACCAGGGTGAATGCATAAGACCAGACTTGAATTCAAGCTACCCTGTGGTTAAAGCAAGTTCTGTGCACTTAGCTGGAAACCATCTCTGAGGCCCAGCCCTGGTAACTCTCACCAGGAAACGGCATGTGCCTCTATACAAAGAACATGGGTTTAATATGTACAGGACACATGGCATAATTCGTCCTTCCTCACTTACCTACATAGTCAATTATACCACAGCGTGATGAAAACAAAGCACTTTTAATCCTAATTTGGGAGCACGGTGCTGCTTCTTGCTCAGCTCTAACCAATGTTACATGCCATGAGGCAGGGCAAGGCCAGATACACATGGGTATCCAGATGCACTGTCCTTCCCCACATCTGCCGATCCAAACTGCAGTAGAATTTTCCTGGATTTGAAGTCGAAACACCAGTGGTTTAGAAGAAAATCAAAGGATCAACTTAAAGCTATAAAATAATACATCACAAAAGAAGGACTAGCAGAGGACCTGGTGCTGGAAGAATAGCAGTGCTGGAGGGCAGAACTGAAAGCCATTATCAGAGCTTTGTGAGGACACTGACACATGTAGTCAGTCACATCACATAAGACATCGTCAAAGCTTTCAGTCTGTCTGTTTAATGAAGTTTATATTGCTCCCATAGGCTATGTCTACATGGAGGATTTTCAAAAATCTCAGTAGCCTCAGTGAAGGGAAGCTCCATCAGCACCAGCAATGCTGGTACTTTGTTATTAACCCTGCTTGAGAAAGGTTTTACAAAGCTATGGTAGAAATGCCAGCTGTAGCAACATTCATGCTGCCATGAGGCTACAATGATCAGAGGAACCCACACTTGTAGGAAGACATAATATCTTTTATTTAACCAGTGCTTTTTATTAACTATTGCTGGAAAAACCAAGCAAGGATAAAAGCTGTAGGAGACAAAAAGTTGGCAGTGAAACCTGTCAGACTAATGAGTCCATACTCAGCCCCTGTGTAAACAGGCTGAAGTGAAGAGTATCACTCTCTGTCTACACTAAAGCACTCAAGTAGAAGGAAAAACCTTTGGAAAGAGGTAGGAGAAGGTGAGAACCCTGTTGAAGAAAGCAGTCACTATGCCAGAGAAGCAGTGTGGGGTGACACTATGGATGGAGAAGCTGCTCCCACAAGGTGCCAAACATCCCTCAAGTCCTGCTCTAATGAATTCAATCTGGCATCTCACAGTCAGATCCTGAGAAACTAGTGGAAAGCTTCCTGATTTATTGATACGCTGGAAGACAGGGCACAGAGCCAGCTGGCTGAAAGCAGACTGTCCTGCAGCAACTGCAAAGATGCTAAATCACCAAACAGGGTAGAGTGGAGATGTGTCATTGCCAATATTTGGCAGCCTTGTTTATTGATCCAGTCCTCTGAGAGTATTACATGCTGCCACATTGCACAAGTGGAATACTGATAGAGCAACACATCGCTCTGGTGCTGCCACTATTGCAGGGGTGAGGCAGCTCTGCAAAGCATAACAACATGCTCTACACAGAGCATGGCAGCAGTTCCTAGCACAGGGGCCACAGGAAAGCCTCACAGGTTGGCACATTGCTCTCACTGAAAACTGAAAGGGTGAAAGATTAGGAGGTAAGAGCTCTCTGGACATCAGGTTATCTGTAAGGTGATACTTTAACTTACTCTCTGACTTTCTAGATGCCTGATGGGTTTTTTTTCAAATGTACTGAGAGTACGTGCCCCATCCAGTCTCCAGC